GGGGGGGGGGGGCCCTGCACACATTCTCCAAACAGTAGTGCCTTCCATCCTTAGACCATAGGACACATAGAGAAGGTACGGATGTGTTGGTTTTTCTGAGCAAAATTTCAATTCAGTACAAAAATATGTCCAGAGCTTACTGTGTACCAGTCACTTCACTCAACACAGAATTCAGTTTTGTATTTTCTAGACTGAGCCCAGGGATCCATCTCCTTGGCCCACCAATCTTCTCCTCTTTGCCCCTCCCCCCTCCAAATCCCTCTGTCCAGTGTGAGTGGGGAGACTCCCCCAGTCCCATAGGCAGCTGTCCCACTCTCTCTCCCTCCTTAGGCCACCCTTCAGCAGCTGCTTTTGTCTGAGGAAGAGTAAAAGGGACTATTTAAAGACACAAGGTGGGGGGCGGGGCAAAGGAGGCTTAGCCTGGGCTCTGGATGAACAGGGGAGGCCAGAGGGCTGGGGACCATCCAAATGGGCCTGCAGATAGTTTTCCAGGTCGCCAGGGCCAGACAAGTACATTGGGAAGAAAGATGACCACAGGATGCATACTGCCAGCTTCAGGGCGGGAAGGACGCGCTGTGATTGAAAGGTGCCACCTGTCAGATCTTCATGGGAAATCTGAGCCTCCCAGGCCAAGGGAAAGTGTTGTACCAACAGGGCGGTAAACAATGCTCTTCGGAGGCCCAAGGCTCTTGAAATGGGGGTGGGGTGGGGTGGAAGGAGGGAGGAAGGTGGAAGGGGGCAGGGACAGAAGCGCTGGGGGCTAGAGGCCTCAGGCAGCTCAGGAGTGAGGCCACTCAAGGAGAAGGAGACAGCTCCCAAGCCCCCCGGCAGCAGCCCCACAGGTAAGAGAAACCCTGTGCCCCTTTCTAAGGAGCTCCCTTTATCTGCCAACCCTTCTCCCACCTTCCAAGGGCGGGAGCCTTCAAGCAGGGCCCCAGACTTGGAGAAATCCAGGCTCCTTTCTAATTTTCACCAGCACTATGTCAACTCTCTTACATGCCAGAGCTCAGGGACTCAGCCTCTGGGGTGTTGGGAACCTGAGATCACCTACAGAGCAGCCTGCCGGTGGCTGTCCATGTGGTGGATCTGATGGGGCAGAGAAGCTCGCTGGTTCAGTTGGGCAGGGTGGAAGATTCTCTAAGCAGTTTATAGTGGCCTCTCCAAGGGAGGATCCCTAGCTGGGGTGGGGAATGGTAGGAGCCTCAGGACCACCTGAAGACAGATGGGGTGACTGGGTCTAGCAGTATCAGCAGAACCATCAAGTGTCATCTACACACTCGGGCTCCTGGGTTCTTTTCCTTCCGGTCCACCAAGAGCAACAGGGAGGGATGAGGGGAGCTGTCTGCAGTGCTGCTTCGGATACAGAACAGAGATGGTAGGAAGGCTTCCTGGGGAAGGAAGGAGGGAGGAAAGAGAGAGAGCCGAACTCCTCAGCCATGTCTGACTGGCCTCACCCACCCATGGGGAGCTCTGCACTCTGGGCCAGAGCCTTTGAAGGGACACTGGCCGAGCACCTGGTGGAGCAGCATCTTTGGCACAGGCTCCGGGCTGGTTGTCAGGAGACCTGGGTTCTAGGTATGGTTTGGCCATTTAATTGTCCTATGACTTTAATCAAGGGGCTTCAACTTCCTCAGCTTCAGATCCCTAATGTGTACAGTGGGGCCAATCCCCCCTGTTCCCAGGGTTAGAGGGGAATGAGGTAAAGCGAGCATTATGCGGCTGTAAGCTGCTCAAGAGTTGCTAATGCTGGGGTTGGGGGGGTTATTCTGGTTTCCGAGCATTCTGAGTGTCTTCACTCTTTGTGCATTTATGACAAGCCTGGAGGGTGGAGAGCCAAGGTGATGAGCACACAGCATGGCTGAGGGGTGTGTGTGTGTGTGTGTACATGTGCGTGTGCACCTCCTTCCCCTCCACCACCCTGAGTGTGTGGCACAGAAGTGAAGGGAAGGATCGTTGCAGCACTTTGCTATGTCTCAGCCAGTTACTACCACACTTTGAGGTAGGGGCTTGTTATCAACTTAATGGTGTTCAGCTCTCTTTGCCTTATCTCACCAACTAAATGCCCTCATGGCCCTGTCAGGACCGTAACCTGGCACAGGGCTGGGCAGAAGCCAACCTACACAGTAGGAGCTGGCATGTACTGAGCTTTCCCTCCACACCAGGCAGGCCTCAAAATATTCCCTATGCATTGGTTCCCTTAGCCTTCCACCATCCCTATGTATCAAGACCTATTTTTACCTCCAAAAATCAGAACACCAGAAGGGCAGGTAGCTTGCTCAAGGTCACACACAGTTAGTGTATAGTGGGAGCTGGGACCCCATCGTAGGACGACTCCCGAATCAATGATTGTCACCACTATGTCACACCACCTTCCAAACAAGAGCACAGGGCAGGAAGGGACTGTGTGGGTCATTCAGACCAGCGTTGGCCACACTTTCTCCTGCTAAACACAACTTTGCTCCAGGGGGTGGTAGGGGCGCCTCAGGAAAAACAGCAAAAAGAGAAAAGAAAACAAGAGAAAAAATCCACAAAGAAGTCTGGGGAATAGCAAGTTAAGGTTTCTTTACTATGGGGTATCTAAGCGCTAATGAAGTTGGATATTCCTAAAGAGGAGGTTCTTTCTGGAACAACCTTAGCCATAGACTAAATCCTGTCTGTCCCCTGCCCCCCAGCCCCTATTAATGTGTTAGGCGACCCTAATTTTCCATAGAACACAGTTCGGAAAACCTGGTCTAGACCAATCCTGTCATTGTTGGTGGACTCTGAGGCCAGAGAGGCAAAGGGATATGCTCAGGTCTCAGAGTGAGTGACTGAGAGATGGAGGTCAAGGCCAGCTCCACCTGCATCCATGTCCCAGCTCATCTGTCCTCTCTAACTCTAATCCATGTGGAGATGCTGGACCATGAGGGGGCTGTGGCGGAAGGGGCAGAGCTGGAGGACAGTGTGAACACCTTCGCCAATTCCAGCCTGCTTCCTAGGAAACTGGGGGGGCACGAATCCAGGGACCCCAGGAACAGAGCCTTGGCCCTCCTTTGCCTATCTTCCTGCCTCTGTCCCAATTACCCAAGTGCCCTGGGAACTATCACCCAGAACGGTGGCACTTCAGAGGGCAGGAGGTATTTTTAGCTGATGACAGGAGTCTCTACTTTTCTTGCTGCCTGAGTCATGCCCTGATCACTATTTGGGGATCGTTTTTTTTGTAAACAGACCCCCAAAAAGGGCAGGAGATGAAGGAGCTGGCCCCACACCCCCCATCCACCTGTTATTATAGATCCTCGAGTATATACTGTACTTGAATAGGAAACTCCAAGTTAAGGTGTCATAATCGCCCTCCCCTCACCACCTCCAAGCGGTTGAAGGATCACGTTTCCCTGCAGAGGTTAGAGAGAGTAGCTTCTGTCCTTCACCAAAGGAAACCTTTCCGTGCCCAGGCCCACCTTTTCCTAGAACCAGAGGCTGGCAGAGCTGGCAGAGGCTGAGACCAGCTGGCCCAGGGCTCCCACATTTCAGGCATTTTTACACCACCTCCAAGATTTAGCTCCATCTGTACCACCTGTATCCTGCTGTCCTGAATGGCTTCCTCCGAATTAACTTACTTTTAAATTCAATAAATGTGTGTTGTTGTTTTTAAAAAAGAAACATTATGTCGCTATTGGAAATGGAAACTGTGGAGACAAGCCAGTATTATTAAATTCTGTCTAAAAGCTCCTGCCTGCTTTGGGCTCTGCGCTGAGGTCTGGTCCTCCCCACGGGTCAGAAGGCTAGCGGGGAACTGCAGCCCCTCGGGGCTTAATCCCGAAGCGGCCCAAAGCACTGAAAAGGCAGAATGTGACCGAATGTTCTTTAAAGCCCAGCCACAACCTGCAGAGGGCGGTAGGTGACCACCACCCAACAGCAGACCAGCCAGCCCACTCCCCGCCTCTGGGGAAGCAGCGCTCAGCCCCTTCATTTCACCCCGGGAAAGTGGATGCTCGGGTCACATGTCCGAGTAGGGGGGACCCAGGACTGAGCCCCAGGCCTCCAGCCTCCAGCCTCCGGGCCATCGCTGTCTGAGGGCTGGCCTTCCCCTCATGCAGGATGGGGCATGACCAGGCCTGCTTGTCTTCTCTTTCCAGAGATGGAGCAGAAGGAAGGGAAGCCCTCTGAGGATGGGACCACTGTCTCCCCAGCCGCAGGGACCCCGGGGACGCCGGGAGGTGAAGCCTCAGCAGAGGAGGCCAAAGGCTGCGTGGGGAGCAGCGGCACAGAGGGGCCTCCGGACAGGGCAGGGGAGCAGGAAGGAGCTCCCGCCGAGGATGGTCCAGCGGAACCCCGGGGGGAAGCCAGTGGGCCGCCTGAGGTCAAGGTGGAGTCCGAAGCGGAGGCTGAGCTTCCAAAGGAGGACGGTGGGAAGGAAGAGACCAAAGAGGCTCCTCAGGAGACGACTGATGGGAAAGAAGAGACCAAATCTGAGCCCAAGGAGGCTGAGGGGAAAGAGGGGACGGTGTTGGCCTCTGAGAAGCAGAAGGCTGAGGAGAAGGCAGCCAAGCCCGAATCCAGGGAGGAAGCCAACGTGGAGGCCAAGGCTGAGCTGAAGCCGGCCGCGGGGGAGCAGGAGGCCAGGGCCGGAGCCACGGAGGCCGCGGGGGAGCAGGAGGCCAGGGCCGGAGCCACGGAGGCCGCCGGGGAGCAGGAGGCCAGGGCCGGAGCCACGGAGGCCGCCGGGGAGCAGGAGGCCAGGTCCGGAGCCACGGAGGCCGCCGGGGAGCAGGAGGCCAGGGCAGGAGCCAGGGAGGCCGCCGGGGAGCAGGAGGCTACGACAGCCGCTCAGGAGGAGAGCGACAAGACAGAGGAGCGCAAGGCTGAAGCCCAGGCGAAGGCCAGTGTCCCAGAGGCCAAGTTGGACTCTGAGAAGAAGCCTGCTCGGGAAGATGAGGCCAAGGCTGAACCACAGGAGAGTGACACGAGGGAGGAGGTGGTGAGTGAGACAGGAGAGAGGAGGGAGGAGGCCCCACGGCGTCCTGGAGCCCCTGCCCCCAGGGAAGCAAGGCCCCTCTGCTTTATTTCCTGGGGAAAGTCCAGTCTTCCTCCCACGGGTATCAAGAGCCTGGGGTGGGGGCTGCTGCCCCGTGTCCCAGGCTGCCTTGCAGATCCTTCTGAAGTCCTCACAAAACCCTGGGCAGGCGCTTGTGTGACTATAAGCTCACCCAGATCATGTTGGTTCCAGGAGTCAGGTGGTCCCAATGAGGAGCAGGACCAGAGCGTGGAGAGAGAGTCGGAGGAAGGGGCAGGGGTGACTCCCAGCTCCCCTGAGGAATGGCCCGAGAGCCCCACAGAGGAGGGCCAAGGCCTCAGCCCAGGTGAGTGAGAGCCAGGAGCCCACGGGCTGCTGCAGGGGCTCGCCTGAGGGGCGTGCAGGGAGCGGTCACGATAGACCCACTTCCCTGCCCCCTGCTCCTTTCCTGCAGATGGGCTGGGCCCAGACACCGCAGCTTCTGGAGAGACCAGTCCTTCAGCCAGGTAATGTCCAACCCCAGGGTCTCGGCTCCAAATCCCCCTTACACCTGCTCCCTTCAAAATCTCCCCTCCCCAGCACCCGATCTCAGAATTCCAGGGTTCCTGGCATTTAGCCCCTTTCCCAGGCAGATCCCAGGAAACTGAAGGAGCCAGAGCTTGGAGCCAAGGGAGCATGCAGGACACCCGGTCCACCTCCCCTCCATCACTGGCCCCTCAGCCTCCCTGACAGGTCTTACAGAGGCCCTCATCCTGCTGCTCAGCATGTTTCCATGGTGCCAGCACCATCCACAGAGCATGAGCGGAAAGCCTGAGTTTGGACAACTCTGCCACTTACCAGCTGTGTGACCTTGGCCATGGCACTTTGCCTCTCCTCATCTGTGAAGTGGGCGCAGTAACTGTACCTCCCTCGCAGGATCAGTGTGAGGCTCAAACGATGTAATGTGTGCAAAGCACTTAGCACAGTGCCTGGTGCCTGGCGGGTGCTGGAGAAAATAAGCCTGATTCCTGCCACCGCCCAACTCTAGTCATTAGAAGAATCTCCTTTTATTTTGACCCGAGACCCACTCCGTGTTAGTTTCTCAAAGAAAGACAACGGGATACTCACTGAGCGTCAGGCAGTTATGCAGCTCACTCTCCATCCCCCTTCTCAGCCTTAGGGCACCTTTCAGCTAGGCGTGTTCTTGCCCCCATTTTACAGATGAGGAAGCTGAGGCTCAGAGAAGTAACATGAACAATGCCAAGATCACACAGCAAATAAGAGGCAAAGTCAAGATTCAAACTCAGGTCAGACCTCAGACTTGCTGGAGTTCTGCCCTCACGTCCTGCCAGACCACATGCTTATTGCACCTCCCGGGCCCTCCCAGTGCTGGGCACAGAGGAAACGGGTGCCAAGAATAGGTGCCCCAACTGTGCAGCCCCTTCAGACCGCAGGGACCCCCACCCCCAGCCAGCCCCTGACTCCTCCCTGTATCCTGCACTGGCTGGTCCCAGCCCTCTCACTGGTCTCTGAACCTTTCCACATAGTGAGCCTTCACACAGCGAGGTGCCCCAGAGTCCCTCGGAGCCCCCTCCCTCACAGGAGAAGAAGGCACCGGAACGCAGGGTGCCAGCCCCCGCCAGGCCTCGGGGAGCCCGCGCACAGAACCGCAAAGCCATCGTGGACAAGTTTGGCGGGTAGGGTGCAGGCGAGAAGCGGGCTAAGCTGGGCTTCCCCAGGGACTGTGGGTTGGCCGGAGGGAGGCCCAGGGGGTGGGAACAGCCCAAGCCAAGGTGGGAGGGTGGACACGGCCTGGGGCTCCTCCCTGATGAGGCCTTCGGTGGCCTCCTACCTCTGTGGCCTGGCCTTCTCCCTGCCTCCGCTCACAGGGCAGCCTCGGGGCCCACGGCCCTGTTCCGGAACCCGAAGGCAGCCGGGGCGGCCATCGGCAGTGTCAAGAACATGCTGTTGGAGTGGTGCCGGGCCATGACGAGAAACTACGAGGTGCGCAGGGCACCGGGACCCTTCCCCAGGGCGGCAGTGGGCGGAGGATGTGCGTGGCTCAGAGCCCAGAGGCTGGGAGCTCACAGGCCGCCTGTCCCCGCCCGCAGCACGTGGACATCCAGAACTTCTCGTCGAGCTGGAGCAGCGGCATGGCCTTCTGCGCGCTCATCCACAAGTTCTTCCCCGATGCCTTTGACTACGCCGAGCTGGACCCCACCAAACGCCGGCACAACTTCACCTTGGCCTTCTCCACCGCAGAGTAAGCCGCAGCAGGGCCGGGGCGGGCGCCGGGGCGCATAGACAGGCCTGCCCTCACGGGTCGGGGGATGTGGCCGCACATTGGTGTAGCCAACAGCTTACGACCGCCAAGAACTGTTTCAGGACAAAGCAGCAGATAATCCCTGCTTGTCCGTGGCTTATACTCCGGGGCGAGAGGGATCATAGACACACATAGGAAATATGGGGCGGGGGATAGGTGCTATAACGACAGTGCTG